GCACAACACCGGTCATCTCCGAATCCATGGACTGTAGAAGATCACGTCTGCCTACATTGATTTTTTGGAGGAAGAGTCAAAACTCCACAAAAACATATGTACAGTGCGTGACCGATCACATGAAATGTTGGCTGACATTCTGAAATGTGTTTTCGATTAGGAAGGACTACTTAGGTGGGGTTGTAATAGTGATTAGCATGCAGCATAATCCTATAGCGTTTCGGACTCACCAGGATGTCGGCTTTTGGGTGCACTCCTGTCTGACCTTCTGCAGAGACCGCGATCTGCAACAAATGACTACTTAAGTAGCATGCATTTTTCGTATTAATTTTCGATGGTCTTACATATTCAAACATATTTTATAGAAAACATACAAAAAAATATGCTTTCTCCTACTTTTTCGGTAGAAAATCACATTGTCTTCCTATTTTATACCTGAGGAAAGTGTATATTTAGGTTTTTAAAATGTTTCGAATTATGAGATTTTCAAGACCGTGCGATGTCCATATATACGACATCGTACATGTCAGTTTACCGAGGCTTCTCATGAAATGTGCAACACAGTCCGGATCTATTGCAAAATTTTATGAACTGTAAATGGTATCTTCTTAAAGGCATAGAAGAATTTATGATTTTCCTTGCGCGGAAAGCAAGCCCCTTGTAAACTGAAATCGCTAAACGCCAATGCAATGGCAGATCTGGCTCAAAATTACTCGAGAATTGGAAAACATCCGGGTGAGTCCGAAATGCTATAGGATTATGTTGCATGCTAATCAATATTAGAACCCCTTCTAAGTAATCCTTCCTAATCGAAAACGCATTTCAGAATTTCGGCCAACATTTCATGAGATCGGTCACGCACTGTAATAACTGGCATAAAACGTTGTATTACATCATCGTTGTCATTAACCCGTTATAATGTTCTTTGTCGTGCAGGTCTAATGACTTTTGTGGCTGGCTTTCCGCAATTTCTGCCAATTATTCTGGACGCCTCCTTTGTGCAGGGATTGTGCGTGACTCAGGTTGACGTTTATTTTGCTGGGAATTCCCCATCTGCGATTAGCCGAATCTATTACGGACGTGTTAGACTTCGTTGTCACTATTTTTCCTTGGGGCAAGACGATTATCGGTTTGACATTAAACACCTCACCCAAAGTCCGGGGCATTACAAAGTGGTCGTGCTTTTTGGGCGGTACATGGTCATTAGCATAATAAAGTGTTGTGGATTGACAACGTCCCGTTGTGAGACGAAATGCGTGTCAGCAAACAATTTTAGACCATTGATTAGAGGCCAAGGTTCTGACTAAATTCCGCAGGGCAGACCCGCCATCAGTGCCAGCATCTAGAGGCTCTTTCCCCTATCCGAGACTTTTCTTTCTCAATTACCATCGACGTATCTTTGTTCAGGCAGATAAATGGCGGAACAGCATACAAGTTTATTCTCAAAGTTCAAATCAAGAGGCGACTTTCTCAGGCCATCCGTGTCGTCCTGGAGTTTTCCCACCGGCTGCAGATGACCACGATGCTAACGAAACTAACATTTGTGATGATACTTCCGTTTTTTTTCGAAATGACCTCAATTCCCGTCCCTTCATTACTCGGTTTAGCACATCCCCCTCCACTCGTTTTCTTCTCCCGAACTCCGGTTAGAAAAGTGAACAGCTGCAACGAGCCCATTTCCGGCGTCTGTAGCAATATTGCATATCTGCTTGACGCACCCGAGGTAGTCATTCGTCTGTCATTGTGCAGGATGTTGTCATCGTACCCGACCGGCTGCGGTCGTTGAAAGCTCTCCATTAATGTCTTTCTTCACCTTACCATCCTACACGGACCTGCTCTGTGGTGCGTAATATTTAGAATCCGCCATCGACTTAAGCCGCCTCAACCTTGGTGATCTGGACGTGGCACAAGCACAACCTGCTCTTTCGCATTGCTAAAGCTTGGTGAACGAATTGTCCCAGATATCGTAAAGTCAAGGCATTCGAACACTATTTTGCAGAAGGTGATGCTTGCCGAGAAGGGTTATGCGAAACACACCGCTTGATCGCATACTCCAGAGGAAGAAATGATTTTAACCTGAAATCTGAAGAAAACCGTAGTATATATGTCTCAATAGGATGTACAGGTCACATTTTCAGGTTTACAGAGTAAACGTTGGCCCAGACAACAGGACTGCCGAAAATTTGCAATGGCGGGTAGAAAAATTCTTCCTAAAAGCCACCAACGTGCATTCCCTACGAACTAATTTTGTAAATCTAACGTATTATTTTGCATTCAAAGGAAAAAGTCAAAATTTCCACCAATACTTTACGAGACCCAAGGCATGCTCTTTGCAAATACCTCTACAAAAACTGCAAGCCTGAACTCGACTGGACAAAGGAGGATGCTTTCCGCGAAGAGTTATGCGAAACAAACTTTCTGGTCGCATCTTCTCCAAGTTTCTCTTATTTGAGAAAACCGTACCATACGTGACCTAATTGCATGCCCAGGTCATATTTTCAGGCTTTCGAAAAAAAACGTCCACTAAAAGGTCAGGACTATCAGCAGTTATGAACTAGAGCGTGACCACACCAAGCAAATATTTGTCGTAGTATTAGTCGAGTCTTCTTCTTCCATTCGGAAGTACAGTTTAGGATACATGCTGAAAAGTTATGACCTTCGGCCTCAATAGAATTAGTTGTTCATAGTGATCGACCGCTTGAAGGCAGAAGCCCTCCGACTGAAATGACTGTTTCTTGACGTATTGTGGAGGCGGGATTTCACGTACAGGTAGCGCTGTCGTTGGGAGCCCGAAATCCGGAGTTCCGGACTTAGTGCGATGATGACTACTTTTATTCCGCATTCCAAGGGACTGCACTGAGGGTGAGAGGTGAAGGCCCAGACCCCGTCACCTGAGGTCGAACACTAGCGGAAATGCGCACGTCTGGGGATATCAGCTTGCCGGGAGACGAGGAACCCCAACCGTATTTTATTACCGTGGCTGTGCAACCTCACGGTCGCCAGCGTGCGGCCTTCGGTCGACCTAGCACGCCTGTCAGACATTGCAAGCGCGCGCGTGACTCGGCCTTTGGCTTGCCGACGCCGATCGATATTTTCGGCGTCAGCAATTGGTCAGAGACAGACAAGACCCGGGTCCCGGCGCACACTTCGCGCCCGGGCGGTTAAAATGCATGGTCCTGCCGTGCGTTAAGAAGATACCACATACAGTTCATGAAATTCTGCAATGGATCTGGACTGCGCTATACATTTCATGAGGAGCATTAGTAAACGGACATGTGCAGTCCTACATGCATGGACATCGCACGGCCTTAAAAATCTCATAACTAGAAACTTTTTTCAAGCCTAAATATACACGTCACAAGAGATCACTGTAGGTTCCACTTCCTCGGTGATGACCCCGTCAGCCCCAGTTCGGTATTCGTAGAGGTTGCGACCACTGGACAATGCTAGGGAGTATCATCAGCCGCAGGATCGCGTGAATATTAAACACAGAAGCAGAAAGACGCCCTCGCTGCTGCATGATAGGCCAACCGTAGAGAACAACGAAAACCACCACGTCATAGTGCATTGACGATATGCGGATGACTTGTGTTTCTAGTAATGGGGACTTGTGCAGCACCAACCTAGCTCCCTTGCCTTCCACACCTACTTTTCCCGACGGCAACACCATATCGAGACGACTGGAAACGTGTGTAAGAGCAACGATCAGTGACGTTAACCCACACCCACGCGCGCGCGGCACGTGCAGTTCGATCGTGTGCCCCACAAGGAAGGTTACATGTGCGCGAACTAGCCCATAGTGACGGTGAACTTGCCCTGCATCTACCACACTCCCTCCTCATTCATCCACTTGAGCTCGGTGTGAAGGCAGAATCAAGAACACCGGAAGGGAATCGGGCTCAGTGGCTAAACAGTCCCTCTACGTGCACCAAACACGACCTGGACAGTGAACAATGGACTAGGCCCTCGCATAAACAAGAAAGAAAGACTCGGAGCCCAACTGAGAGTGCCCAATCAAAAAGCCATTGCAAACTAACCCTCCGTCTTGAGAGGAGTGCCGTGTTATCCCCCAAGTTGGCAGCCTTCCAAGCCATAGCTTTTAGCCCCTTTGATAGCTCAGAAGCCCGTCAGACTGCCTATACTGGGGCATATAAGCTGCGTCCGAGGGGGACGGAGCCTCCAGAGTCGATCTCACTCTCTCCCTCCCCTCCTTCGGGCACCAGTCCACTGCCCGGTCCGGCCAGTCATCTGATTCGGGGATTAGGCACATGTGACTGGCAGGCCCGAACCTGGGTGTACCACCGCATCTCCCATGTGTGGCATCTTTTATGGGTGCGCAGCAAGATAAGGCCCCGCACTGGTCCAGGGCAATTCCCGCGTGCAGAGAGCACACACAAAGTAGGCCTCAATATCTCCGGTTTCTAAACGAAGAGTAGTTATAAACGCAACAACGAGGAGCCATTGCTGTCTGACCCACAGTTCGGAGAAGCGGGTTAGTCCGTCAGTGGGCAGCCCTGCAAGCCACGACTTTTACTAAACTCTGACTGCTCGTAATAGGGAAGCTATCGCTGGATGGGTCTCACTTTTCTTCATCTCCCTCTATGATTCCAGCCAACTGGAGGCATGAGATCCGGCACAGTAGCACATGCAGCGTAAGGCCTCCGTTTAACGCGTCCTATAAAATACCACAGCAACAGCATGTCTTGCTGGTTGTTGTTGTTGTTGTTGTTGTTGTTGGTGGTGGTGGTGGTGG